CGATCATGAGGAAAACACCGGAGGAAGCTTATGACCTAATAGAGGAGATGGCATCAAACAGCTACCAGTGGAGCAATGATCGAACCAATCAGAGGGGAGTACACCACATTGATTCCATCTCACATTAGTCACGATTTTATTTTCAAACTCCCCCCCTTTTTTTTCACAAAAATCACAGGGTTTCACTACCTGATCCATGAATTCATTGATTGTGGTCTCTATATGCCTAACACAACAAGTTCTAGAATAATCAACCCCTGTTTGATAGATAAATATGTGAAAATCAATCAAACCCTTATGCATCTTGCCTATTGATCGATTAAAATCATGAGGTACCATATGCAACCAAGAAAGATTCAGTTAGTCATGYTTGCATCCTATCTTATCTATTCAGCCTAAGCACATGATTCCTGATAAGTTGAAATCGTTCAAGGATAAGTTTTCGGGAGTAGAAATTTCAAGACGGTAAGGTATCCCAAATTTCCATCAGATTTCCCTAATACCCCCACACTTAAGTAATACATTGTCCCCAATGTATGTGATTATGCATAAAGTAGAAGGATTTGGGGGTACTTCCCTGTTCGCTTTTTTTTTTTGAGGTTCCTGCTAAACACAAAAATCAAAACCAAACAAAATAAAAAAAATAACTAAACATAATGGGTTGCCTTCCAGAAGCGCAATTGTTTAACGTCGTTATGCTCGACGTCCTCTTTTTGTTCCTTTAATCCAATGAATACCGAGGAATGTCCAACGAGATGTCTACCGTAGAGGGGACATTTGTATCCTCGTGGAACAACTTCAATCGATGTCCATTCACCTTGAAGATCTTACCTGTGTCGAGACTTTTGATCTCTGCTGCACCATAGGGAAAAACATTAGTCACAGTAAACGAACCCATCCACTTGGAACACAGCTTACCTGGCATGAGTTGAAGTCGAGAATTATACAATAAGACCTTTTGTCCAATTTTAAATTGTTTTCTTAAGAGTGCATTGTCATGGAACGATTTGGTCTTTTCTTTGTAGATTTTTGAATTCTCGTATGCCTCTAACCTCAACTCTT